ATGTCATTAAAACAATTATTTGATAATGGGATATAAACTATTTATGGTTGGCTAAATGTATTTGTATATTCACTGTTATTAAATGCCAATAATTCAGAGCATTACAGGTCCATATCAACTAAACAAGTCTTACTTTTATACTTCCTAGCAATACAATTAGAGACATTAGGGTTCTTGTTTTAATTTTGATACGGAGATAGTTAGTTTAGTATTGATAACATTTGGGTTAATTTATTGCATGTGTTTGTAGGGATAAATGTTAATATAGTGGGTTTCACCTGCCTTGTAGAAATGTTATATAATTATTTTAGACCAGTGGTTCTAAGGCTTAGGGAATTTGCTTCTCTGATTTATAGAATTAGAAAATAAACTACACTTTGTGTCTAGCTACATACAGTTGTTCATAAGATCAAGATCTACGTTAAAATATGTTTTGTAAATAATATTGAAAAAAAAATTTATAATTGGTAGTTATATGTTAGACCTATTATATTAACCCAAAACTTACAAAGGTTTCTTGTTAAATCAGTGATAGTATTGGGAGGGAGATGGTGTGTGGGGGAGAGTTATATCAAACTAGCTGTTTGTGCTTGTTTTCGTATGGTTACCAGCTTGCAGCCAATTCAGCTCACTCAAAAATGCAAATGTCCGCTTGTTTACAAACTGTACAATGAACTTCATATTTCAGGCTTCATTATTTATTCAACCGAATACATTTGGCAATCATTCCCGACCACAACAATCGCTTTGTTGTTGTGTGAAACCGCTTTTTGTCACATTAATCCTTTGATTGAAACATTCTCTAGTTACAATGTGTGCCTTTTCAAACTAAGTGTAATATTTTTCATCATCTTTTTTTCAAACCCAGGGTTCGAACTCAGGGTTTAACTACTGCCCAGGGTTGATATTTCAGATAAAAGTGCTTAGTTTCTTCCTCTACAGTATGTCGTCCTGACTTCTTGATTAAATAATTAAACAATAAAATTGCGTTTACAGGATTTAACAATCAACACGTTCTGGTCACCTACATTTTAATTTTTTTATTCATGTTGGGCTTCATAGGGTTTAAATCATAAGGCCGTGGCTTTATATCATTACTGTAAATCTTTGGATCACTATCTAGGTATTCGGGGTAGTGGCCCAGGTAGCAGTAAACCTCTAAAGTCTAGACCATCCACGCCCCACATTTATTGGCTATAATGTTTACTGTTCAGTTCAAAACAAAATATTTCTACAAATTAAGATTTAATTACATCATAATTTGCATACAATTACATAAAAAACTAGTCATACAGTATATATAATATTTAAGCAGCACATTATTAGTAGTATATGTTAATAAAGACCAAAGAAATATTTTGCACAAGAACGGGTTAGGTCTGATTTATTAACTACTGCCATTGCACTCTGTTAATAATGGTTTTTAGACAAAGGTAAACTAATGTGATTTAAATATTAGTACTCTTAGTGTGGAATTGAATAAAGAATTAAGGTCATATGACTTATGTCAAATCACTTCCGTAAATATTTGTGTGCAAATAAGTCAAACAGTTTGAGGGTACTACTAATCTTGAAGTTTAATACAAGTTCATGAATCAGCATGATTACAACTTATCTGTTTAAATCGACATTAAAAATATTTTTTTGGAATACAACACAAAAAAGGTAAATAAATGCTGAACATCCAATATCCAACAATTATCAAACTTTGCGAGTGATAAAATATTATCCTTTTAAAACTTCTCAAAGGTACATTAGTTTCTTGGGTCCCTATCACTTTATACGCACGTACTTTTATATACATTTCAATGGGCAACTGAGTCGCTTTATACTAAAGACCAAAAGTTAATAAACTCGTGTTGTTAAAATCACTCAATTCAATACATCTATTATAATCAGTGTGTGTTTGGTCACAAAGATTTTAATAATTAGGTTACGAGTCGAGGTGGCGCGGGACTGAGTGACGTCAGCTGGATGTTGATTGGTTTCCATGGAAACCCTGACGTCTTCACTGAACGTTCACAATCTGATTGTATTGTGGAGACACGACCCTTGTAGTAGACCACCTACACACACTATTTAGCATACTTGAGAGATGATAACGTACAATATGTTGGTTCATAGATTGGTTACCATGGCAACCCAGACGTCTTCATTGAACGTTCACAATCTGATTGTATTGTGGAGACACGACCCTTGTAGTAGACCACCTACACACACTATTTAGCATACTTGAGAGATGATAACGTACAATATGTTGGTTCATAGATTGGTTACCATGGCAACCCAGACGTCTTCATTGAACGTTCACAATCTGATTGTATTGTGGAGACACGACCCTTGTAGTAGACCACCTAAACACACTATTTAGCATACTTGAGAGATGATAACGTACGATATGTTGGTTCATAGATTGGTTACCATGGCAACCCAGACGTCTTCACTGAACGTTTACAATACTGTAGAGACTGTAGAGTACATTAGAGACACGACCCTTGTAGTAGACCACCTACACACACTATTTAGCATACTTGAGAGATGATAACGTACAATATGTTGGTTCATAGATTGGTTACCATGGCAACCCTCACGTCTTCATTGAACGTTCACAATCTGATTGTATTGTGGAGACACGACCCTTGTAGTAGACCACCTACACACACTATTTAGCATACTTGAGAGATGATAACGTACAATATGTTGGTTCATAGATTGGTTACCATGGCAACCCAGACGTCTCTTCACTGAACGTTTACAATACTGTAGAGACTGTAGAGTACATTAGAGACACGGCCCTTGTCGTAGACCACCTACACACACTATTTAGCATACTTTATAGATGATAACCTACAGTATGTTGGTTCATAGATTGGTTACCATGGCAACCCAGACGTCTTCACTGAACGTTTACAATACTGTAGAGAATGTAGAGTACATTAGAGACACGACCCTGGAAGTAGACCACCTACACATGGCGTCGTCCTGTAATCCAGCTACTTGGAGGTCACGAATTGTGGATATTTTTATGCATGACCTGTGGATGCTATATTTTCTGTGGGGATTAACGTCCGTACTATTAAATACAACGACTATATGCAGTACTATCCTGACAATTGGACCAATTAGTTATTTATAAGGTGTAAATGGGGTTCGGATTCCACTATTAACTGTAGGTCCCTTATTTGCCATTGGCTGTATGGTTTATTTATTAGCACTCCTGTCTAAGGAACATGTCGGCCTTAGTCAGTAACAACACTACAAGATCGCACCCCTCATCCTACACTCATCTCCATTCATACTTTGCTTAAAATATCTACCTTCGCATGGTCTAAATTTCAATTAAAAGTATTCAAATATTTAGCATACTTTAGAGCTGATGTTAACCTTCTGTAGTATGTAAATTCTTTGATTGGTTACCATGGCAACTAAGATGTTGCCGTCAAAATAATAGTCTACTGAAATGCTGGTTGGTTACTTGGAAAGTTTGATATTTCTACTGGACACTGCCAATTTAATTATATCGCATATGACTCTGTTCCAGAATATTTAACATTATATTTTTAGAAAAAATTGTATTTTTCTTTGCGTTTAATTCGTTTAAGTTACCTGATTTTAAGTAATTGGTGTAAAAAATGGGGTCATCAGACTCAACCAAGGTCAATCCGTCTAAAGTTGACAGTTGACAGTTGACAGTTGACAGTTGAGCAGTGGCAGGTCAGGTCTCATTAGTAGACCCTAATGACCTGAGACCTTTTAAGTGGGGTCTCATTACATCCTGCTACGTTTTTACAGTCTCAATCGTCGTCTGGACAACATCACAAGGATAGCCTATATTTGTTGTAAATACCTCTGCGAGTTTATCCATTCAAAAAGTACAACGCTGAGTAAAAAAATTGTTATGGATATATTGAGAATCATGGAATATAAAAAGCTATACCGTACTTACGTCATTATTTACCCGGTCTCTATTACCTCTTGATGCTATTCCACACCTTTGAAACTAATTTGTTGATAATCCTTTATTCAATGGTTCTCTTAATAAACTATGTGTTAGGTTAAGTAGATAAGATACCGTACACCGAATGGCAAGTTTATTTACTATAGAAGTTAAATTATTTTGAAATCCCCAATCACCTCATGAAGTCGTAGCTTAAAAGTCATCTCCAATTTCCGAGGTATGCACACTGCACAGGTAGCGCATATGACATTGACAATGACGAATTACGATGACATTGTCGCATGCTGACGCGATACTGTGTTGGCTCCACGCCTTGCCATAAATCAACAACCCAATAATGCCTGGCCATATGTGATGTGTGCTTGAGTCAAGGTACACACACGTACTGAGTCTACTTTGTGCACACATCGATCCTATCACTTTATACACACGTAACTTTATAAGCATTTCAGTGGGTAACTGAGTCACTTTATACACCTGCATCTGATCAATCTTATATACTGAGCCACTAATTACTTCGACTAAAAAGCATCTAATCAGTCACCAAATCTGCATTATCCGCATTGGTAGTGTCACATGTAGGCTGCTGAGGCCATGGCACTTCTCTGAAACACACATCACGTCAATGTGGGTTGCATTTTCCTATATCACATCGCTTAACAAAATGCAATGATACATAGCATGATAAACACAATATAGACAAAAACTACACAGTCTAAGCGGATTCTTCTCAGCCGTCTAATGCAGTCAGCTACAGTCATAATGCGGAAATGAGTCATTATGATCGGGTGACTTGCTATATGTTTTACTAATAAAGATATATCTTTAAATAATTTTCAAAGGTTGAGGATGTTTTAGTTCCAACTTTGAACAGGTAAATGATAACCGGTAACCGGTTGATAAAAAGGATTATAAGATATTTTATCGCTGATAAATTAATACAGCCATAAGAACATACCGATGTATTTTTAATTCTTATGTATTTCGATATACTTACGCGTGTCAAGTTTGGCCCTAATGAGAGTCACTGTCTGTCACACAGGTATGGGCGGCTTGAGCAGCAGAGACAGCACAGCAGGGACGCTATAGTGTTGTGCTAGTGTGTGCGTGATGTGGGAATGTGTGTGTCAGAATGGGCGGCCAAGGTGGGGGGTGCCACGCTAGAGCGGGACCCTGGGGCCCTGGCCCTGGAGCTCCGGCCTTCGGCTCCACAACAACACCTCCAACAACAACAACAACAACAACAACAACATCGCCACCACCGACGACACGCCCACGCGTCGCTCTCTCTCTATCGCAGACTCTTCAACTTCGTCAAGCAGGCATGGACGGGAGTCAAGTTCGCTCTAGGTTCGTCCTCTCTTTTACCGCATGACCTGCTCGATAGTCATTACGAGGATTCCACCTTAACATCTCAAACATTCGTGAAAATACTCTACACCCGGTGCTATCATTCCGTATAACAAGTCTATTAGTATTGGACTCCACTATGTCATGAAAGCCGTTCGTAGGTCAAGGTGTCCCGGTGAGTTGCGAGCATGACATATTAAATTAAACTTTCTATCTATAAATAACCTTTTTATTTAATTCTTAACTCGTTCCACAACATAAATTTCACATATGAACTATTGCTTCCCGAAAATATTCATTACAAATTATATAGGCTACTCACCGGGTCACCACTCACATCACCCTTATACTGTCTATGTCTATCTTAACATCGCAGGAGACGTTTGCACGATGTTCGGAGATAATAGTTGGTCGTAATATTTAAACCGTGCTTTTAAGGTAATACCTTTAATATTCAATAGTAATACATACGCTAATGATCTACCGTACTGTATATCGGGTATTCCAAGTGCGTTAACTGACACTGTTGGAGGTGGAATGCTCATGCTCATACGTGAATGCCTGTGGGACGTGCAAGTGTAGACATACTTCTCCCATCTGTGGGAAGTACCCCTATAAGTAATGAAATGTACATCTGTTGCCTCTCTTTACATGTGTCTACCCATTATTTGTTGTTAGCACCACAATCACAATGTTCATGTTCATGTAAGTTCTGCATGCAACAACACACCTACACAGTTAGGTATAGTTTTAGTAATAGTCGCAATCTTTTGTTTCTGTATCCATAATGCTGCCACTTTATGGGATCTCTATTTTTGTTGAACTTAATTACGTGTAATTCGTGTACACTATTATTAGGTATACCATTAAGTGTTACCATTAAGTGTATTATGTAATCGTGTAACACTACTATTTCAGAATATTTCATAATGTATATGTAACATATATGTTTTACCCTGCCACAATCGTTGGTAGCGAGTTGAGAGTGGGAAGTATACACTTTTTAGCGGTCTGAGACTATCAACAACTGAGGACATTGAATAGGCTTCAACCTCAAACGTCTGAAAACAAAATTTATAGTTGTCGTTGCTTAGCAGCCTTTACATATCGTTGGGATTTTTGGTTGGCTGTTTTACTCCAAGATTACTCATTCCCTAACATTGACTCAGCATGTGTTGAAAGGTGGCCTCGCACCTCCAGAACTAGTGTTCGGCCTTTGATGCGAAGTACCAGCTCTGGCATACTGTTGGTTCATATTATGTTGTGTGTGACGTGTGAACCACACGCCGAACGTGATCTCACTATGAAAGATTTGTGTAGGATATGATTTCCTCCATCATCGCAGAACCGGTCTAACATTGTTATTGTTGCTCATTTTCATCATCATAAACATACCTACGAATTTTCTACGAAAACTCTCAATAACATTTCAAAGCGAGGTAAAGTAGGTCTACTTTCCTTCCTGTCCTTTCATAACGTCGAAAACAAAATGACAGCCTGTATATAATACTCTGCTGTCTATTTTTTTTTTAATAAACATAATTAACTACTTTTACTAATTTTTAAAATGTTTGTAAATATATAATAGCTCTTGAAATAAGTTTTCTATTCGTATTTTAGTTGATTATTTGTAGAGCGAAAACACTGTATGTGAGTTAAACAAATTAAACTGTTAAACATTTATCACATTATTTTTCGCTTAAGTAAAAAAGAGATGTAATACAAATAGCCCATTGTTTCAAAATTAAAATGTAGTAATAACGTGCGTTTAAATTATCAGCCTATGAAAAAAAAACATTTGAAAACCCGCTAGTTTCCACTTGGGGTCATATCTAGGTAAATGTACCGTGTACGCGGTTATATGATATATTGGTTATTATAAACTATCGAATTTGATGATAAGAATAAGGTGAATAGTACATAATTATTCCACTATTCATATATAATTGCTCTGTTGAAATTATATAGGTTATAAAAGCCCAAATACAACAAACAACATTACATAATATATCCCTTATATTAATACGTGAGGGCTGTTTTTTGTGAACACTACTCCTCTCTTATTTGTGGACCAATTTCAACGTAAATGTGTCGAAAGATTCGGCTCAATTCTTAGTTTTGCTTTAAGGTTTTAGAATTTAAAAGTTCCTGCCCTTAAGGGCGTGAGACCCTTCCAAAAAGGTCGGGTTTCACCATAAGAATTACATTGAACAAATTTAAAAACAAAATGCCCCCGCCGCAGCAAACCTGCAGACTAAGCGAATTTCCATTTGACTGATTTGATTTACACTGAAATGTCTACTTTAAAATATAACATTTATTCCGATTTAAATAGAATTAGTTTAACAAGTACTTAGGTTTGCTGCATCAGGGAGGGTTAAACAGTTTTTTTTTTTTTTTTTGTAAAATGTTAATAGTTAGTAAGAAATAAAAACGTTTTCTAAATTTGATCAAAATATGTTCATAAACAATCAAACTACAACAGTTTACTTATTCTCCATAAGAATAACATGGGAATTTTAAATTTACAATTTTTAGCGAATTTCCCATATAGGGAATAAGCTATTACCGTAGTACTCATGGTAAGACCTGGACCCGGGACCGATTTTTTTTCGTTTTGAGGTCCCTAGAGGCCAAAAATAGCATCCGTTCAAATTCATATATATATTTATATATATATATTTATATATATATTTATTTATATATATATTTATTTATATATATATTTATATATATATATATATATATATATATATGTGTGTGTGTCCGTTAGCGCGATAACTCGAGCAAAAATGATCCGATTTTGATGAAATTTGGTACAAACGTGTAAACCTACGTTTATTCGAACAAGTTCGCGAACCAGCATGATCGGACCATGGGAACGGGGGTTTATGGGGGCTTTTATGGGGTAAAAATGGGGTTTTCCCATTTTTGACCCAAGAAACTTAAGTTTTTGCAATTTCTTTCCAAACTATTTTGTAGAGCTTAAAAAAAAATAATTTAGTATATTGAAGCGTTATAATGCGCCTAATGGTTACGGAGAAAATTCAAAAAAATTGTAAATTTAAAATTCTCATGTTATTCTTATGGAGGAAACATAACATTCTTATGGATGGTAAACTTTTGTAGTTTGCTTATTTATTAACATATTTTGCCCAAATTTGGAAAATGTTTTTATTTCTTACTAACTATTAACATTTTACATAAAAAAACACTTTAACCCTCCCTGTTGCAGCAAACCTAAGTATGTGTTAAACTGATTCAATTTAAATAGGGAATAAATGTAATATTTTTAAGGAGACATTTTAGTGTAAATCCAATCAGGCAAATTCGCTTAGTCTGCAGGTTTGCTGCGGCGGGGGTATTTTTTAATTTTCTCCGTAACCATTAGGCGCACAATAACGCTTCAATATACTAAATTATTTGTTTTTTTTTAAGCTCTACAAAATGGTTTTGGAAAGAAATTGCTAAATTTTATGTTTTTTGGGTCAAAAATGGGAAAAACCTATTTTTACCCCATAAAACCCCCCGTAAACCCCTGTTCCCATGGTCCGATCATGCTGGATCGCGAACTCGTTCAAATAAACGTAGGTTTACACGTTTGTTCAAAATTTAATCAAAATCGGATCATTTTTGCTCGAGTTATCGTGCTAACGGACACACACACACACATATATATATATATGAATTTGAACGGATGGTGTTTTTGGCCTCTAGGGACCTCAAAACGAAAAAAAATCGGTCCCGCGTCCAGGTCTTACCATGAGTACAACGGTAATAGCTTATTCCCTATATGGGAAATTCGCTAAAAACAGCTATATATAAATTCACCAATTCCAATTTCCAATTTCATGAATTCTTGGGATTAAATAATAATGTTTGTAATATTCAGGAGGTTATAGACAAAACCAAACAGTTAATCAGTTTTGTTGGAAGAAAAGAAAATTTCTTGAGTTTAAAGAAGAAATATTGAAGACAGGAGGAGGTTGAGAGGAAATCTTATACGTATGAGAATAGTAGGAGAGAGGCCTGGTCTCACAGTAAGAAATCCAGATACACAATCACTTGGAGAGATGAATAATTTTAACCAGTTCTGCTATGCAACTTATTTTGCAAGTAAAAAAATCATGAAGAATATACAATCGTTGTCACAGTGGTAAAGATAACCTACCTAATGCCCTATCAAATGAATACATGCAAGAAATGTTTACCGGTAACAGCTATAAGTCGGGAAAATTTTTGTATAAAAATCTAAAAAATAAGGCCGGCTTCTAAAAAATGATAAACTATTTTTAACAAAATAGTTAGCATATAACCCGTTAGTTATTGAGTGAGTATTTCAATGAGTTACATAAGCTTTGAGTCTTTTAAACTTACCGAAATCGAAAATTATGACTGTTAACACTGCAGTTTTAAATAACGTCTGTATAATAACGGTACTTGACTATTGATCGATTTCGAGCAACAGGCACACTAGTATCATCAGATTACTTGATCCTGTAATAATGGCAAAAAGTGTCCTAAGTGTAAAAAAGTATTTCACCATTTGTTTTAATTTTACTTTCGTAAATAATGTATGACCTTGACGTTTTACTTAGTTTTCATTCCGAATAAAAATATACAATACTAAGCTAAACGTGGACCAATAAAAGCGTTCGTAGGAGTGACTATCCAAGCTGGAGAAGGAAGGACATGGCATGCCATTCCGGTTCACACAATTCTAGCTATCTGCCCAACGCTTCCACTGAACTACTCTGGATATTGGTGTAAAAAATGAACAAAAGTCCTGTACCTTAGAGAAATTTTATTGTATTTCTGTTGTACTCTGCTGATACCATTTCCTATTACTCGTGTGATATTTATAGTGTATATTATATTACCAATTGAGATAAGAATGCAGGCTCCAATTGGGAATAGAGATTCGTTGTGTTGTTGTTGTTGGACCAGCGGCTTCCTTAGGTGGTCAGCACAGCATGACCCTTAGCCAGTAAAAAACCTAATAATTATGCTAATAATTATGGACAGTGGGGACAGTGGGGACAGTGGGACAATGGGGACAGTGGGGACAGTGGGGACAATGGGAACAGTAAGGACAGTGGGACAATAGGGACAATGTGGACAGTGGGGACAGTGGGGTCAGTGTGGTCAGTGGGGACAAATGGGGTCAGTGGGGACATTGGGATCCAATTTTGACCCTCAATTTTTAGATTATTTTGTTAAAACTATATTCGCAAAGCTATCCCAGCTGTTGTAGATATTGTTAATGAATATTTACAATAAGTAAATACTAAATAAGACACACGCAGATTGTATTCTTGGTAATGTATGAACACATTTTTACAAGAATTCGCAGTTGTGGGTTTTCGCTATACTAGCCAACAGCAAGGATTGATAAGACTAAATTCGGTAACTGGCCTTCATAGTGTTCAATACAAGCCATTCTGGTGGATCGATTAGCCCGAACAGTCGGTGGCGTGACTGACATTGACAGTAAGAGATCCCGTTCTTATCTCCAGTTTTTTTTTAATTTTTTTATTGTCTTTTTATCGTTTAGTAAGTTGTGGTCGTAACCATAAGCGTATAGTTATTGAGTATGAGTGTGAGACCAGTAAAAAAGAAGACATTAAGTGTTAAACAAATTTAAACTAAAAGCAGTGCTTTTTTTGTTCCATTACTTACTTGGAACCAGTTATCATATCTGCTAAGACAAATGAGATCAGTAAGGGGCTTTTTGCAGTTCCGTTACTTACTTGGAACCTGTTATCATATCTGCTAAGACCAATGAGATCAATAAGGTGCTTTTGCAGTTCCGTTACTTACTTGGAACCTGTTATCATATCTGCTAAGACCAATGAGATCAATAAGGTGCTTTTGCAGTTCCGTTACTTACTTGGAACCAATTTTCATATCTGCTACAAGATTATGTAATGAGTAAGGTGTTTATTTTTAGTTTCGTCATTTACTCGATACCAGCTGTTTTATCAGGTAACCCCCATTAAATGAGTGAGGCCCTTATTTGTAGTTCCTTTTACTTGAGACCACCTGTTTCTTGACCTAAGGAACATCCTGGTACATTATCAATCGGCGTAAGGATGTATATGTAACGACTGATTGTTATAACGATTGAACCTGTTGTATTTGACTAGACGGGTCCTACAACCACTCAGCTACTCAGCGGTCACCACTTCACTTTTGCACTGGTTCAATGCACCCAATACGTCTCCTTGCACGGTGTAAAGATCCGGCCAACCTCTTGTCATTTCATTCTTTTTATATCGCATTATCATGTTAGAATTTTCCGTTTTACTATTCTCTTGCGTGTCAATGATTGTCAAATAGTTACTTTAAAGTATAACAATAGGAGAGTGATTTTCAAAACCTCTGACACACAGTTTGTACAGATCGGGAGGTAATATTGTGTATAATGTATGAATAATGCAGCTACGCCGTGCTCGAGCACACTCTTGGCTGGCGTAATTTCAAGTGGAATAAAGAGATTCAACGAAGCGCTTCACTCACAGTTCTTGTTCACTACATTTTTTTTACGATAAACTAAACTTAACAAAGCCGTGTCAACGCATGTGTACTGTAATGATATTTTGTTAATACATGTTTTTGCGTTCGATCGTAGTCACTAAAGCTATGACTGAGAGAATACTGAAGCTCTAGTTATGCCTTATTGAATGTTTCCACCAGAGCATGTTCGATAGAGCAACCAACCGTGGCGATATAATGATCTGAGTATGAGGTATATGATTGTGCGTTACCTAAGTTAATCGTCTTCTTCCATTCATTCACATACTTAAACTTGATTGTGAAAGTGTTTTGTATTATTAGTTGGTTAACACCTTATACGACCAATGTCAAAAACAACCCCCGAGTGAACCAAACATAAATACAAACTCAATTCCATATAGGAATGTATGTTATATACATACAGGATGAGTTTTAATTGTCCCCCCAACTTTTTTCTACATTTTTTCAAATATCAATCCCAGATCACTTCCAAACATTGTTGGGTAGTAAGTACTTCATTTTGACAAGGTGGTCATTTCCGGCCGCCATCTTGGATCCGCCATATTGGATGCAAAAGATTTTTTTCAAATGTAGAGGTGGGGTTGTGACCTAATGTTTCAAATGAAATTTTTACCCTGATTACAATGCCACAAACCGTTTTTAAAAATCTTGATCCACTCCAAAGTTATGAGGGGTTTTTTATAACTTTATTTTTAGCCCATTTTAACATTGTGCATTTACAAACTAAGACCATAATCTCAAAATAGTGCTAGATAAAGATAAGTATACACCACCAGTCATTGTTGGTCTATTTTCAATTGGTTGGATTTTGAAGGGTTTGTAAAAAAAAACACAATGATGCAAATCCGAGGTTAATGTCTCACACCTAGCCAAAATGGCGGGTATTCCAAAATGGGTGCTTTTTTCACATAAATCAAATTTTTGAATACCCGTCATTTAGGATAGGGGTGAAATATCTACCTCCGGGTTGTGTCATTGTTTTTCTTTTGACAAACCCTTCAAAATGAGGGGTTACTCAATTAGGGTTGATATTTTTAAAAATAAGTCACCCCCACCCCCTACCCTGTTAAAGAGATTACAAAATATTGTCGATGGAAAAAATTACGGAACCTATGTTAACAATCAATTCCACAAACAGAATATTTCTATCTATTTCGGTTTAAAAAATACAGATTTGTTTCGAGACTTAATTTACACACTGTATATATTTATATAAAAAATTGAACAAATAGGTAGTGTTTTTGGCCTCTGGGGACATCAAAATTAAAAAGAAAATCGGTCCCGGGCTTAAGTCTTACCATGAGACCTACGGTAATAGCTACTTCCCTATAGGGAAATACGCTAAAAACTAAATACTTAACAATTTCCTTTCAGGTTACTACCATGGAGTTCAAAAGCTATTAGCCTAGCTGTTTTAAACCTGTTTTCATAATAACTCTTAAACGAGTCGGAAATAGGCACTTACAATGCATGATGTTAACTATAATTAATCAAATTCAGTTTAACGTGGCTAAAAAAATGTGAATTCAAATGGATCCGAGCCAAGTTCTTCAGGGTTGTTTGGGAGTGTATTGTACAAAGTATGGGAAGTTCCTTCTCCTACCCTCGCGATGCATTTTTGGGAAATGACATAACATTGTTGGGAAGGAAGGGTTTGCACCAGAAAATTGAGCAGAGCTTTTCTATTAGGTGCCTTTTATGGGATGTACAGCATGGGAAGTAAATGTGATAATAGTGATTCTAAAAGATAACAAATGTAAAAAACAGCCCTACAAATCAGGTGAAAATCTGATTACGCTTGTTCGTACGTTTTATGCCCTTCCAATGATGTATTGAAGAGATATTATTGCTAGTACCTGTGTGTAATGAGTGTGTGTTGTAGACTCGGAGCTCGAGGACCTAGAGACTCCTCCGCGCTACAGACCAGACAGTCTAGCCGCCCTCAGTCGTGCCACAAGGTTCACAGAGCCCGAGCTCAAGAAGATCTACAGAGGCTTCAAGGCAGAATGTCCCACTGGCGTCGTCAAAGAAGACGCATTCAAAGGCATCTATTCACAATTCTTTCCAAAGGGAGGTGAGTTGAAATAACTGTGTATATTAACGAAACGTACAAATTATCTACGGTAGGAAAAAATTTAAATGTAGCGTCATTGTAAAGTGGATGTAAAATCTATTTAAAGAACGTATAACGTAAGCATTTCAGGTACAGATCGTTGAAACACTCTGTTATGGTTGATTGAGTTGAAAAATGTCTGATGGTTGATAGTTAATACGTATGTAGGAGTTCTGGAGACAATGTGTTCACTAAGCACATACCTGGACTTTTTCGTTCGTTACTTCATGAAAGAAAGTTTTCAGGCGTTGTTTAAATAGGTCAAGATATTTGCCCCGATTTATTGAGAACGATCCTTTTTTCTCATTATGAAGCATATCTGTTGCATTTTTATGTTGCAAAACTTTCATTTGTTTATAAACCACTCAGAAGAGAGGAAAAAAAATTTAAATTACTTTTCTTGTTATAAAATACATTACAATTTGTCACATTAAAATGATTGACATCATAGAAATGTTTAACAAACAAAATACCTCCATCAGGTTCTTTATTCTTATAGTTATTTATCATTTTGAATACGTATGTCCTGGTCACTCCAGTGTGTAGTTACGCCCTTATAGAATTTTACTAAAAGGTTATGAATATCTTTAATTTTTTCAGCTTACAGCGTATCGGTTTCTTTAAATGTGACTTTTAGCTGTTTTTTATTGGAATCTGTATTTTGTCTAGTAATAGAGAAGTAAGTTCGGTTAAATAACTAAATAATTGATGACATTGTGGGTAAAAATGTTTAGTTAATACTATTTTAATGTTTTCATTGAGCTTTTTACAGAGTTGTTAACAAACATAGTCCAATATATTTATGTGTTTCATTTGTTCCAGCTAACACCAGCCAATACGCTCATTATGTGTTCAACACGCTGGACCAGGACCGCAGTGGCCTCCTTAGCTTTGAGGTTAGTAGAAACAATTACGATAAGTTAATATAGTCAGTACATTACTGTACGCACATTATTGGCCCACTGTAATATTTGTCATGAACACGCTAAGTGAGCCAATATGTGTAAGTTATCTTATCAGTATACTTTTCATGCTTCAGTTTTCACAAAACCGGTCAGTCAGTGTGGGTTGTTCTCACAGTTCTCTTAAATGAATGACTTAAATAAATGAGTCGATGTGTCCTATAGAGTTTTGCCATTCCTTCACCGGCTCCGAGATTTGCAAGTGCGGTCACAATATTGTGGGTTGTTCTCATAGTTCTCTTAAATGAACGACTGAGTCGATGTGTCCTGTAGAGTTTTGCCATTCCTTCCCCATGTCCGAGATTTGCAAGTGCGGTTACAATATTGTGGGTTGTTCTCATAGTTCTCTTAAATGAACGACTGAGTCGATTATTCCTGTAGAGTTTTGCCATTCCTTCCCCATGTCCGAGATTTGCAAGTGCGGTCACAATATTGTGGGTTGTTCTCATAGTTCTCTTAAATGAACGACTGAGTAGATGTGTCCTGTAGAGTTTACCATTCCTTCACCGGCTCCGAGATTTGCAAGTGCGGTCACAATATTGTGGGTTGTTCTCATAGTTCTCTTAAATGAACGACTGAGTCGATGTGTCCTGTAGAGTTTTGCCATTCCTTCCCCATGTCCGAGATTTGCAAGTGCGGTCACAATATTGTGGGTTGTTCTCATAGTTCTCTTAAATGAACGACTGAGTCGATGTGTCCTGTAGAGTTTTGCCATTCCTTCCCCATGTCCGAGATTTGCAAGTGCGGTCACAATATTGTGGGTTGTTCTCATAGTTCTCTTAAATGAACGACTGAGTAGATGTGTCCTGTAGAGTTTACCATTCCTTCACCGGCTCCGAGATTTGCAAGTACGGTCACAATATTGTGGGTTGTTCTCATAGTTCTCTTAAATGAACGACTGAGTAGATGTGTCCTGTAGAGTTGTGCCATTCCTTCCCCATGTCCGAGATTTGCAAGTGCGGTCACAATATTGTGGGTTGTTCTCATAGTTCTCTTAAATGAACGGCTGAGTCGATGTGTCCTGTAGAGTTGTGCCATTCCTTCCCCATGTCCGAGATTTGCAAGTGCGGTCACAATATTGTGGGTTGTTCTCACAGTTCTCTTAAATGAACGGCTGAGTCGATGTGTCCTGTAGAGTTTTGCCATTCCTTCCCCATGTCCGAGATTTGCAAGTGCGGTCACAATATTGTGGGTTGTTCTCATAGTTCTCTTAAATGAACGGCTGAGTCGATGTGTCCTGTAGAGTTTACCATTCCTTCCCCATGTCCGAGATTTGCAAGTGCGGTCACAATATTGTGGGTTGTTCTCATAGTTCTCTTAAATGAACGACTGAGTAGATGTGTCCTGTAGGGTTGTGCCATTCCTTCCCCATGTCCGAGATTTGCAAGTGCGGTCACAATATTGTGGGTTGTTCTCATAGTTCTCTTAAATGAACGGCTGAGTCGATGTGTCCTGTAGAGTTGTGCCATTCCTTCCCCATGTCCGAGATTTGCAAGTGCGGTCACAATATTGTGGGTTGTTCTCACAGTTCTCTTAAATGAACGGCTGAGTCGATGTGTCCTGTAGAGTTTTGCCATTCCTTCCCCATGTCCGAGATTTGCAAGTGCGGTCACAATATTGTGGGTTGTTCTCATAGTTCTCTTAAATGAACGGCTGAGTCGATGTGTCCTGTAGAGTTTACCATTCCTTCACCGTCTCCGAGAATTGCAAACCAGAACCAAAATTTAAATATTAATTTTTTTCTCGTTATAACGCATCTACACCAATGTTTGGGCAGTGTTACTTTCTCAAATATTGCAAAAGTAATAAACAAATCAACGTTCGCAAAAGCCATAAATTAATATTGTAGTACTAAAGAATTGGTGTAAATACCTGCTTTCATACGATCGGGAGAACTGGCCACCTCTGGTCCTAATCCGCTTTAGAAGTTTGGTTTGGTTAGGTTAGGTTGGACTATATAAATATAGCATAGCCCCTGAATTTAACACCAGAAGCCGGGACCCCTTCACTCCATGCGTTCAATGTGTTGCAAAATTGCAACTGGTTTCGACTCACATAGTAGTCATCGTCGGGCCAGTACAGATGTCTTCTCACTTCATTTTAAGGTCGTCAATTTATGATAAATAAATACATTTAACACGCACGCGTACACAAACATAAAAACGAACATTTAGGGTTAAAAACTAAAGGTAATACTGTACAGTAACGAGGCACGACGTGTTCGGGCGGGATGTCTAGACTCTACTCTAGTCTAGACATAAGTTAATTTAATTGACTCACTTTCCTTAAATGACCTTAACAATTATCATTAAGGTATCCCAATAATTATGTTCCTGGAAAAAGGGGTTTATTAAATTAATGTTCATATGAATCAACAAATAATCCATAAAAATTGGGACTGTTGAGAAATTAAAGCATTTATAGTGCTGTCAATGCATAAATAAAAATAGTAAAGCAATATTAATTTAGTAGTCATATTGTCGTTATATGAAGCGAGTTAATGCTCTTTATTTTTACTCCCTTCAAAGCTCTTTTCATTTTTCAATCCCAAAATAACGAGTATAATATACACAATACTTCCTTAGAATACAACGTAGAACATATGAATGAAAATACACAGTTGCAAACAACCCCTTGGTTAGTGCTTAAGTATACACTGTACAAATTTGCGTCCCTGTTAATAACAAGCTCATTAACTTAAAAAAAACACGGGAAAATAAAATTTTTGGAACTAGCGTTACAGCAGAAAAGTTATTTTAAATTGGCTAATTATCCTAAGGGGTTGTATCGCTCCCTTGCAAACAACGTTAAAAATACGAATGGCGTACTTATGTATTTACACACTTTGCCAGAATAATAAGAGATATTCAACAAGCAGTTTGCTAGGCAAGGAATGATGCAAGATGTACAAGTCATATACAGCTTTTCAAGATATAGGTCAACGCATTAACTGCAGTCACTAAACTGCAATATCGTCCCATAAACTGTACGACTACACTCCACGCTCGACCCCCACTGCGATCTTGGCGTCTTCTCTGGTACTGGTGTAATGTTTGACTTATCTGTATTTTGCTTGTACCTCTATCAGTAATCGCTTTTATCACCTTTTTATATTCATAATATTGTGATTGAAAACTATTATTGACACTAGTACTTGAGTCAATGATTTACAAACTGTTTCCTAAATGGATCTTCAAACATGTTACAAACATGCTAAATTTTCAACTATTTGTTTCTCTTGAGAAGTCGTTACTCAATCGAGTCTTGCTCATAAGTGCTAACATTAATATTTACAATCACACATTTGAACTTGAATCTTTATTCGAGTACTAGTCTGGAATCTCTGTATTTTTATTGATTTTTAGACAGTCAGTAAAAAAACTGATTAGGCAAACACGTCACCTGAAGCCCTTCTGTATATTTCCTCCTCAGGACTTTGTCCATGGACTGTCAATATTGTCGCGGGGTTCGCTGGACGAGAAGCTACGATGGACATTCTCTCTGTACGACATCAACGGCGACGGACGGATCACCAGAGAGGAGATGACTGACATCGTCACTGCAGTGTACGAGCTCATGGGAAAGTTTGCCGAACCCACTGTAGACGACACCATCGTGCAAGCAAAGGTCGACAGAATATTTCAGGTCAGCCGTAACGTAGGACACAGACATTTAAAACCTGTAAGAAACTCGTAAATTGAGATAAAACTTCAAATGTTTTAGGGTCATTGTAAAAGAATAATCAGTTATCAAAAATAAAAAAGGTAGTCAACCGCCATCTATATATATATATTTTAATTCAATCTACATTCAAGGTCAAGGTTTCATCATATTTACAGCTGAAAAATATTAGAATTCACAACAATCAAAAATATTGGAATGGCAAATTCCTTTGAGTGTACATAATTTATAAATATTTTACTAGATAAGATGCTGTATCCAATAAGAGTCTTGAAAACCCATACCCAAATGTTTAATTCACTAAATTATATGTACAATCTGATATTCTCACTATAGCGAAATTCCCTATAGAGAAGTGGCTATTATCGTAGGTTGATGGTAAGACCTAGGACCGGAACTGATTTTCTTATTAAGTCCCCAAACGCTAAAAACATAATTCGTTCAGACTAATATAAATACTGAATTGCGGGATAAACTTTCGAATGAGTTTGCGAACCAGCATGATTGGACCATGGGAACGAGGTTTTTTTGGATAAAAATAGATTTTACAATTTTTTACCCTCAAAACAATAATTTCAAAATTTATCCCCAAAATACAAATTATTTAGTTAATTTAATTTTTTGTGTACGGTTATTGTTGAAGGGGAAAACGCAAAAGTTTGTACATTTAATATGTCCATGTTATTTTTATAGAGTATCTTCAGTACCCAATAGTCAAGGGTATAAGTAAAGTGTTGTAGTTTGCTTATTTATTTGTATAATTAGATAAAACGTGGCAATTGTATTAATTTTATACTAAGCTATTGATAATGTACTATAAAACACACTTTATTACCCTCCCTGTAGTATGAAACCTTGGTACTCATTAAACCGAATTTAATTTAATAGATTTAGGTAAAAATCAAATCAGGATAATGGATATTCGCTTTGTCTAGAGGTTTACTTCGACAGGGTTTTCTTGATTTTATTGCAGAAATAGTTCGGTTATCCTATAGAAGTTCCTGGCTAGTAGCACCACAGATGAAGACGTCTCCATATCAATATTATGTATCAGTTTGTTACTCGTATGTTAAGAAGATGGACCGCAACCGTGACGGTGTGGTTACCCTGGAGAAGTTCCTGGAGAGTTGTACCACAGACGAGGACGTTTCTGTTTAATATTCTGTCTCAGATTGTTACTCGTATGTTACAGAAGATGGACCGCAACCGTGACGGTGTGGTTACCCTGGAGAAGTTCCTGGAGAGTTGTACCAGAGACGAGGTCGTTTCTGTTTAATATTCTGACTCAGATTGTTACTCGTATGTTACAGAAGATGGACCGCAACCGTGACGGTGTAGTTACCCTGGAGGTGTTCCTGGAGAGTTGTACCACAGACGAGGACGTTTCTGTTTAATATTCTGTCTCAGATTGTTACTCGTATGTTACAGAAGATGCACCGCAACCGTGACGGTGTAGTTACCCTGGAGAAGTTCCTGGAGAGTTGTACCAGAGACGAGGTCGTTTCTGTTTAATATTCTGACTCAGATTGTTACTCGTATGTTACAGAAGATGGACCGCAACCGTGACGGTGTAGTTACCCTGGAGGTGTTCCTGGAGTGTTGTACCACAGACGAGGACGTTTCTGTTTAATATTCTGACTCAGATTGTTACTCGTATGTTACAGAAGATGGACCGCAACCGTGACGGTGTAGTTACCCTGGAGGTGTTCCTGGAGAGTTGTACCACAGACGAGGACGTTTCTGTTTAATATTCTGACTCAGATTGTTACTCGTAAGTTGCAGAAGATGGACTGCAACCGTGACGGTGTAGTGACCCTGGAGGAGTTATTGGGGAGTTGTACCACAGACGAGAACGTTTCTGTTTAATATTCTGACTCAGATTGTTACTCGTATGTTACAGAAGATGGACCGCAACCGTGACGGTGTAGTTACCCTGGAGGTGTTCCTGGAGAGTTGTACCACAGACGAGAACGTTTCTGTTTAATATTCTGACTCAGATTGTTACTCGTATGTTACAGAAGATGCACCGCAACCGTGACGGTGTAGTTACCCTGGAGGTGTTCCTGGAGAGTTGTACCACAGACGAGAACGTTTCTGTTTAATATTCTGACTCAGATTGTTACTCGTATGTTACAGAAGATGCACCGCAACCGTGACGGTGTAGTTACCCTGGAGGTGTTCCTGGAGAGTTGTACCACAGACGAGGACGTTTCTGTTTAATATTCTGACTCAGATTGTTACTCGTATGTTACAGAAGATGGACCGCAACCGTGACGGTGTAGTTACCCTGGAGGTGTTCCTGGAGTGTTGTACCACAGACGAGGACGTTTCTGTTTAATATTCTGACTCAGATTGTTACTCGTATGTTACAGAAGATGGACCGCAACCGTGACGGCGTAGTTACCCTGGAGAAGTTCCTGGAGAGTTGTACCACAGACGAGGACGTTTCTGTTTAATATTCTGTCTCAGATTGTTACTCGTATGTTACAGAAGATGGACTGCAACCGTGACGGTGTGGTGGCCCTGGAGGAGTTCCTGGAGAGTTGTACCACAGACGAGGACGTTTCTGTTTAATATTCTGATTCAGATTGTTACTCGTATGTTACAGAAGATGGACCGCAACCGTGACGGTGTGGTTACCCTGGAGAAGTTCCTGGAGAGTTGTACCAGAGACGAGGTCGTTTCTGTTTAATATTCTGACTCAGATTGTTACTCGTATGTTACAGAAGATGGACCGCAACCGTGACGGTGTAGTTACCCTGGAGGTGTTCCTGGAGAGTTTTACCACAGACGAGGACGTTTCTGTTTAATATTCTGACTCAGATTGTTACTCGTAAGTTGCAGAAGATGGACTGCAACCGTGACGGTGTAGTGACCCTGGAGGAGTTATTGGGGAGTTGTACCACAGACGAGAACGTTTCTGTTTAATATTTTGACTTACTTTGTTACTCGTATGTTACAGAAGATGGACCGCAACCATGACGGTGTGGTGACCCTGGAGGAGTTCCTGGAGAGTTGTACCACAGACGAGGACGTTTCTAGGTCAATGTCCGTCTTTGACTCGACCTTCTGACAGTCACCTGTAAGGGCTAGGCCCTTCCAATACTGGACTTGACAGCTTTAATGCGTGTTGTTGTTACCGATCGAGCTATATACACCAATAAATATTTTATATATTTCTAATACACGTTATTAGTAAATTATAGTTTTTATAAGAATAATAAGTATTTAATTGATTATTACTGTGATGTTAAGTGTAACGACCTAAACTAGTCTCGGTGTTTATTGAAACACATTGGGGTTTCCTCGTTTAAAAGACCGGTATCATTAGCGTAAGTAGCCCAGAGTTCGGTGTAATTGGTAACGTATATATGTTGTACATGAATGAAATAGCTTTATTGAACTGTTACCACAAATAGAATATTGGGACTGAGACTCAATATACAGTTGAAAAGAAAGTAATTATGTTATAATGATTAAATTTTATTTATGAAATGTTTTAAAGTGGTTAAATGTGTTTGACAATCGGTTTTTGATACTTTACTTACCTGTAAAATTTCTGTTGTTATGCTTTCAACACTATGTTACATAAGAAAATAGTGCTTCAATGTTTTTAAGTCCTACTAAAAATATGCATTTTGTAAGATAACGAGCCTAGAATGTAGCCTACGACTCCGTGTGATGTTTGATGTTTTATGTCCCAGACTCTTACTAAGCATAGCTAAACGTGGATGTCCATGTGTACCCGTTCCCTCAAGACTGACCTCAACATTGTTTTGTAAATAAATGTACTCTTAACAAAGTTATCTTCCGAAGTTGCATCACGTTCTATTCTAGGTAACGTTAGTAAAATTTTCTTTCGATATTGTACGCCATTTAAATGCAGACTAAACATTGATAAACATAGATTTTGATTTTTATAGTTAGGATATCAAACAATCGTCTAAAATGTTTATTTTCTATTTTAAAATGTATATTTCTCAAAAGTTAAAATGTTTACCTTCAATTCTACTAGCCGTTGCAAACATCCTTTGTTGGTTATTTTTTGTTACAATACAGTTGCTTATCAATACACTACAATTAATTATTATCTCTATTTATTTGAAAAACTGTCTTTTCTTTTTAGTACAACATGTTACTATCTCGTAAAAAGCTGTTTATTACTCACAAAACAGATCCAATGATAAAGTGAATCAACTATGTATTTGAAAACAGGAATAGTGTAAATTTGCTAAATTTGCTAGATCTAACCTAGCATAGGCCTATGTTGGTGAAACATCTATACTATTTAGCCTATTTCCGATTTTGAATGTTGATCTACTACCATCCTCCTGTTTAGAATTTACGCTTAGATGCGTGCTGAGTCCTGCCTTTAACATGCGTGTGGTAACGTAGTTTTAATATACTGGCGTCACAATCCAGACCACCTAATTGTAAAATATCTTGGTATAAAGACTTAAATCATTGCAATTTTGGGAAAATAGTTCTAGAATCCATTGTAAAAAATTCAAATTTAAATATTTTAAAATACACTAAAGTTGACATCACTACAGACACATTTTGAATCTTGATCTCATCTTATTTCACTGAACCCTTAATTATATTTGGCATACTAAACACATTAATTCTGCGTGAAAGAGAAAGATAAATTGTGGGTAAAGTTAATTGAAATAGCTCTAAACATTAATAATATTGTTTGGCCAACAAATAATTATTGGTTCGTTTAACAATAATAATTATTCTTGATATTATTACGTTGATTTATACCATTTGCATTATCTAAGAAATTGATGATATTATGTAAATGATTGCTAAAGACGTGTTGCAATTGTTATATTTCGATTAACTCCTTTCTCCAAAATAAAATATTTAAGCCTGCCTTCGTAGAAAGATTGTCTTTGCCGGTTACAAAAGTGTATGTTTTCGTCATACTGCAGCAAAAAAACAGTTTTTAAGCATGCATTGAAGTTCTAAAGTAGCTCTTTCAATCCCTTGGGAGTAAAACGCCGTTTTAGACCCAGGGAGGAAAACGCAGCTGGAGGAAAATTTGATTGCGAGAAATCGCACGAATTGAAATCATTTATTGATTGATTTAATTGGCTGCAGCTTATTGTTGAAATATTGTCAATAAGTATAATGTGCGGTGAGACAATCGTAATAGATGGAATGATCGCGCTGCTTATTTCCATTGACAAAATTGAAAACAAGTTTGGAGCTGTTTTGAGAGGTTATCTTTACGAGAAAATTATTTTTGGTTTTCCATAATGTTGCAATATGACGAAAAATATAGTTCATCACACGGGCCAAAAGGGTTTATTCAACCCTTGCTCATACGTGAAACTTGAGCTCGGGTCAAAAAGAGTCACTTTACGTCCTAGTGTTTAAATTTACTATTAGTAGTACTGTAAACTATGTCATTCTAATATCAACTGAATCTCAAATGATAAGTGTAACTACTATAGAAATCTGAAGCACAATCTACAAAACTTGTTTTATATAGGTTGTATAGTTTTTTACGTAACCATACAACGCTCACTGGTGTGAGTATTATTGTTTGTGTCCAAAAGAATGTTCAGAATAAGACAGGTAGGCTATACACCTTTAATGTATTTTACAAAGCAAGTAATACAATAACCTGAACTGGGGCCAAGAAAATGACCATTTTGTATACTTAGCTGTAACAGAGATTTGACTGAAAATTTGTCAGATCAACACCATTGTACTAGTTCAATCCAATGCTAAGAGTATGTGGCCAATAAATGAATTACTGACCCAAATCGCAACTGGTCTGTCAGCATTATTACATTGAGTTCCCATCTATCACCGGTACTGTTGTTTCCGGTACCTACAGTATTATTATATTATACTAACATCGAAAAATAGTATATTGTAAAACTAATTTGGATTCAAAATGGCAGTACTGTACTGTCTTCAAGAAGACCGTCAATGCAATCAACCAATGCAAATCATTTTGTAGTAACTGAAATAACGCTGAACAACAAAATGGACATTTATTAATTGTTGAAACGTTGTTAAACACTAAATGTAGTCTGGAATCCTAAGTTGCAATGAGCTAAATATGTTTTACTATGAAATATCTAGTGATAAACAAGTTGAATGATACAGTGTAATGATGGGAAATTGTTAAGTATAGATCTGTTTGTTGGTATGATATGTAAAGTAGCGTGGAGTAGCAGGCCCAGTTCACGGCCCCTAGTATGCAATGAGACGATGTCACACACGACTGTCGGGTATCGCTACACAATTGGTCGGTATGATTGCATTTATTTGTATTTCAAAATAGTTCAGATCGAATCTGAATTGAGCTATAGCTGTGGCTGTAACAAACAAACCGATATTTCTATTGTATTATTACAGCCAATAATTATACATTTGTGTTTATCGATGGCAATGGTTGCAAATTTTATCGAAGCGGATTTTATTGCCTTACCATTATATAGGTACGTTTACATTTGAACATAGGACTAATTAGTAAGTTCGTTTAATATGTACAATGCCCAATCTTAGGTTTCGTGAATTATGATTAATGTGTCAAAAAACTCAAATTTCAACTTGCATTATCATAAATAATACATTACAATTTACAAAATAACTTAGTATCTTAGCTGACAGTGAGTCGTTAATTGATGCAAAGACAAGCGACGAGGCTACATATCATTGGAGGCCGCTAAATAAGTACCAACAAAGTAATTGCTGACTTGTACAATGTTATTAAAACTATAAACATATATTTAATGTTGCATAGCTGTTGAATTATTGTATATGTCAAATAAATGTATTTACGGTATTTCCAGCTTTTTATTATGTCTTTCTCCCACAACAATGTGATTAAATGTTGATGATACAGGACACAGTACAGGACCTTGGTAATAGTCCGATAATTCGACTGCAACGTTTGGGAAACGAATTCTTCACTTATGCTGACCTTTTACACTCTTTAGACTTTTAATGAAATTAAATACCTTGCGCTACATATCATTCAATAAAACAAACAATTATTAACACAATAATTTCCAATACATAGTGTGTGTATATATATATATATATATATATATATATATATATATATATATATATATATATATATATATATATGTGATATTTACATACATTTTACTTTAACATATACAAGACAAATATATATTTATGTTATTGTTGTAATTGTTTTTGTTAGTTACTTTTCTGTTGCATTTGTTTTTAAAGTTAAGTTGTTATGTTATGTTTTTATTTTATTATTTGTTCACTCTTGTTATGTTTGAATAGATTTTTTTCTCTGTTATTGTTATGCCTCCTGCAGTAGAAACTGTGTACATTAATATTGTTATTGAATTGATCCAGCTTGTGCATCTAGAAGTGTTTCATAATTATACAGTTACTAGCAGAGAACCCTAGCGTAGCCCGGGTCAAGAAATACTAATAGTATTGTAGAACGATTTTGAACATTTTCACACACACGGATATTCACTAAAATATCGAAGAAACACATTCTTTCTTTAATGAAACATTTCACTATTGTTATTCTAGAGACAAATGTTATTGGTGTAAATAAAACATCAATAAACAACATATAAGACCAGCTGGTTCACTAATAATATTAAGGGTAAATTTATCTGATCCATGGATCAATCAATTTAAATTACACAATTATCGTTGGCTATAAAAACTAAGAAAACAATTACACGCTTTATATTTAGGCCCAACAAACTTGTAAAAAAAACGTTATTAAAATAATCCAAAATATAAAAACATGTAAACATTGTTATTATACCTCAGTTTTCATGATAATCTATCAATAAATTTATGTTATGAGCTTAGCTTTGTAACTCAGGGGCAAAGCTTTGATTGATCCAGCATGGGCTAAACCATCTTACTTCCTTAAGTTAATGACTCTATCTTGTAATAAATCTCAAAAATCAGGTGTGTGGAATTGTGAAATAAATTCATTTCTGTCTAGTAGTTTATCAATACGAATGTAAATGTTGTATCATTTTTGGTTGCAATGGAAACCAATCAACATTTACTTTGAAAAACCTAACCTCAGATCTTGGAAGGCCTGTATGGCCCCTGTGGGACAAAGCCCAAGGTCAATATCGAAGTGGAAATAGCCTTACTTTGGAGTGCACACCAGTAGCAATCTACTACTACTACCACGAGAGGGTGGCAGCGTGATTATTGATTAACTGCATGTTATTGTAAATAACATTGCCGTGGAATTGTAAACAAATAATTTTGTATCTGAAAAAAAATTAAATATATAAGTTAAAATTGAATATTTGGGTAATTTAGGGCATTAAACTATTTTAAATGGTAACAATAATCTGGCTCTAATTGAGGTTTTAAGGATTGATTAGGTTTTTTTCATAATATTATTGTTAATTTGTATAAATTATTTTGCTATACAACCTAGAAGTTAGTAATGATACTATACGTGGCATTCAATATTTATCTACTTAGGTTAACCTGAGTATACTTTACAATTTATAGGGTATTTGAGAGTATTTAGGTATTACAGCTCGAGCGTTTTTTTTTTATTTATGTTGCCATTGGACTTATTATATTGCTAGTAAATTGGATTCCAAATAGTTTTCCAGGCGAAATCAGGAAGAAACCCAGAACTTTTAAACATATACATCATCCTGAAATGGCTATTACTAATTACCCCGACTGTGAAGTTTTAAATAGCCAATGAGAAGGCAGATAGTGAGAGGCCTCGTCAGCTGATCCAATCAGGGGCTCTCAGCGCGGCGGCGCGTGTCAAGTGGCCTTCATTGGGGTATAGAGTACGTAAACATATACATCATCCTGCAATGGCTATTACTAATTACCCCGACTGTGAAGTTTTAAATAGCCAATGAGAAGGCAGATAGTGAGAGGCCTCGTCAGCTGATCCAATCAGGGGCTCTCAGCGCGGCGGCGCGTGTCAAGTGGCCTTCATTGGGGTATAGAGTACGTAAACATATACATCATCCTGCAATGGCTATTACTAATTACCCCGACTGTGAAGTTTTAAATAGCCAATGAGAAGGCAGATAGTGAGAGGCCTCGTCAGCTGATCCAATCAGGGGCTCTCAGCGCGGCGGCGCGTGTCAAGTGGCCTTCATTGGGGTATAGAGTACGTAAACATATACATCATCCTGCAATGGCTATTACTAATTACCCCGACTGTGAAGTTTTAAATAGCCAATGAGAAGGCAGATAGTGAGAGGCCTCGTCAGCTGATCCAATCAGGGGCTCTCAGCGCGGCGGGCGCGTGTCAAGTGGCCTTCATTGGGGTATAGAGTACGTAAACATATACATCATCCTGCAATGGCTATTACTAATTACCCCGACTGTGAAGTTTTAAATAGCCAATGAGAAGGCAGATAGTGAGACGCCTCGTCAGCTGATCCAATCAGGGGCTCTCAGCGCGGCGGGCGCGTGTCAAGTGGCCTTCATCGGGGTATAGAGTACGTAAACATATACATCATCCTGCAATGGCTATTACTAATTACCCCGACTGTGAAGTTTTAAATAGCCAATGAGAAGGCAGATAGTGAGAGGCCTCGTCAGCTGATCCAATCAGGGGCTCTCAGCGCGGCGGCGCGTGTCAAGTGGCCTTCATTGGGGTATAGAGTACGTAAACATATACATCATCCTGCAATGGCTATTACTAATTACCCCGACTGTGAAGTTTTAAATAGCCAATGAGAAGGCAGATAGTGAGACGCCTCGTCAGCTGATCCAATCAGGGGCTCTCAGCGCGGCGGCGCGTGTCAAGTGGCCTTCATTGGGGTATAGAGTACGTAAACATATACATCATCCTGCAATGGCTATTACTAATTACCCCGACTGTGAAGTTTTAAATAGCCAATGAGAAGGCAGATAGTGAGACGCCTCGTCAGCTGATCCAATCAGGGGCTCTCAGCGCGGCGGCGCGTGTCAAGTGGCCTTCATTGGGGTATAGAGTACGTAAACATATACATCATCCTGAAATGGCTATTACTAATTACCCCGACTGTGAAGTTTTAAATAGCCAATGAGAAGGCAGATAGTGAGACGCCTCGTCAGCTGATCCAATCAGGGGCTCTCAGCGCGGCGGCGCGTGTCAAGTGGCCTTCATTGGGGTATAGAGTACGTAAACATATACATCATCCTGAAATGGCTATTACTAATTACCCCGACTGTGAAGTTTTAAATAGCCAATGAGAAGGCAGATAGTGAGAGGCCTCGTCAGCTGATCCAATCAGGGGCTCTCAGCGCGGCGGCGCGTGTCAAGTGGCCTTCATTGGGGTATAGAGTACGTAAACATATACATCATCCTGCAATGGCTATTACTAATTACCCCGACTGTGAAGTTTTAAATAGCCAATGAGAAGGCAGATAGTGAGACGCCTCGTCAGCTGATCCAATCAGGGGCTCTCAGCGCGGCGGGCGCGTGTCAAGTGGCCTTCATCGGGGTATAGAGTACGTAAACATATACATCATCCTGCAATGGCTATTACTAATTACCCCGACTGTGAAGTTTTAAATAGCCAATGAGAAGGCAGATAGTGAGAGGCCTCGTCAGCTGATCCAATCAGGGGCTCTCAGCGCGGCGGCGCGTGTCAAGTGGCCTTCATTGGGGTATAGAATACGTAAACATATCACTGTGCTAAATACTTTACCGGACAAGCCTACTCAGTAGTTAGTCACTCTATTAGTTGACTGTCTACCGTCTAGGATAGAAGCTGTATTTTGTTGTTATGATCAAAATGTTCATATGATAAGAACTTCACAAATAAATAATAATAAAATTATTCGATTATGATTTGAACAGTTGAGTTCTACAAGGTAGCTGATGATAAAAACAACAATGACAAATAACTTTCAGAGAAATCTTAGTTCGGTTATAAACTATATATACCCCTACACTTGATTTACTCGGAGATTAATTAATAAAACAATAGCTTTTTAATTTAGTTACTAAGAGTGTTTGAAGAATTTGCCCTTAGGGGAGGTGCTATTGGAGTAGACATATTAAGACATGGACCTGGGAACGATTTACTTGTTTTCATTTTTATGGACCTAGTGCCCAAAACACTGTTCTGTTATTTTTTTTAGAAATAAAACATTTATTAAACATAAAGTACTGTAATGTATAATAGTTACTTAAACATTTATTCAAGACAACTAACGTTTGAGAAAACTATTATGCCCACACCTCAGCAAAAATGTAGACCAAGTGAATTTCCATATGCCTGATTGTTTTTTATTATTTTTTTTATTGTTATTATTTCCTTAAGCATGTCAGATTCATTCCCCAATTTAAATAACATTATGTTTAACGAGTACTTAGATCTGCTGCTAAAGGGATTTGGAATGATGTGGGTTTTTTAGTGAAATGGAAATAGCACAGTATGGAATAAATACATCTGTCACATAAATAATAAAAATACATACATAAACAGGCAAAATACAACAGTTAACCTATTCTCAATAAGAAAAAACATGGGAATTTTAAATTTACAGTCTCCAAATTTGGTCAAGCTATTAAAATGTTACCTGTTATGTGGAAGAGATTTTAACTGTTTCTTAACTTGTAATTATTCTAGTTTACATTTAGTATTATTTTTCTTGAATGAAGAACAAACATAATTCTAATTTTTTCTATAAAAAGTACTTTAAATGTGTTTTTGTGTTTTTTTTTCAATGTAATTTTATCAATACATGTATCGAGTGACTAAGACCGTGACACATGGTGATTCTCTCACCACAGGCAGATCTGCGAGTGTAAGAACACAAAGATAAATCACCCTTTGTCCTCTGCTATCTTGACTTTCACACATAATTACGCCCCAACGCGTTTAATCATTGTCTCATCCCATGCAAGTCCCTTTATACGGATTTTGCCAATAGTTTTTATTTTTTTACTGCGCACCAAGAATACACCCAATATTGACTATGTAATAATACATTTACAAATTTAAAATATATACATGTCATTTCTATCCTAGATTTTCATAAATTTGATATTCACCCAACACAACATACAACATTTTTGTTTTTTTTACATACCATTTTAACCCTAAATTTCTATTGTTTTGATAACTTTCGTTCTCCTAAATAAAAATTATCAGTAGACATTTTATTTAAAAGATTGGAATATCCCTAAAAACCCAACATCATACACGCGCGTACCACTTATACGTATACGTATAATATAAAATGTTAAAATGATTGGAAATAAATCAATATTTCTTAAAATTATGAAAATGTTGGATTTGTTATGAATTTGTTTATTAAAAGCTATTTTATGTCTACACTTGTTTACTGTACTGTAGGGTACTTCAACTGAGTATGATAATATTACGTCAAATGTCGCCTAATGATAACCCTACAAATGACTGAAATAGTTATTTGTGCAACTAGTGAGCAAAGTGAGCAATTGACTCACTCGAGAGAAATCCTCCTTGAGTGAAGCAATTGTACTTTGCACTCGAGTTGCACATTATATTTTTCCTACAGTTACCATAAAACAAATAAATTGGTAAAGAAACGTAACATATTTTTACACAGAAGTGAACTTTTAATATGACATTTAATGTGAAGTGACAAATACAACAGTACAACAGCTGACCAGCTGATTTACAGCCAGTGCTGCCAACGTATTTCTCGTGCATACGACCTTGTCTGCAAGTTACGCGCTCACTATTTCGTGCCTTCACGTTGCAAATCTGGAGTGAGACAAAGTAATTAGAGTGAGACAATGTTAACATTGTCTCACTGATGAGCGAATTGGCCACTTTGCTTTCTCAAATCAGCGAGAGAACATGTACATTGTTATGTAACTGTAGGAAAAGTAAATAACTATGCCTATAGATAGCATTATGTGCCTAATATAGCACTTCTTCAATGAACGAGAAGGAATAGAAGGAATTCTACAATAAAAAAAACTTACAAATACAAGAACACCATATTTAACATTTACAAAGTATTATTTATAAAGTATTTATATCTACACGTTGTCAGGCACCTCGACCACTTCGTATCTGTGATGAAGATACATGTTGTTGACTCCAAACTGTAGGAGGTTCCTCTTAGACTGCAGCATTTCTGGGGTGGGGTCGCACTCTAGAACAAGCAAAATACGTGGACTGACATACCAACAGATATGGTATTCATTTACTATGTTAGATAACTAAGCTTTATTTTCATCGTCCTGCGTATTTCTAAAAGATGTTACTTGGTAAATATGGTGAATTTTTATCTTACAAATAATGCATAACAGCATTATTGCACATTATTGCAGCCAGCAATGACTATAACAAGTCATTGCTGGCTTGAGAAAGGGAAGGTCCTGTAAACTTGCGTTCACTTAACTAAATGTCCTCACTTTTTCATGTATTTATATTTTTTCTACATTAATATTCTTCAAACAAAACTATACTATTTTCCAGTTTTTTAACCACACTCACATTACAACAACCATCTCAACATTCCTTATCACAAAACTTATTTTTTCAAATGCCGTACTTTCTACAATGTTACTACATATTTCAAGATCGTCTATTATTATTATTGGTTGAGGTAGGGATGCCACCTCAAAAGTGCGTATTTTAACCCAAATATGATAAAATAAGTTTGAAGTCGATTGAATTAACTTACAAATAATAACAGTGACATCAATTTTGATTGAAAATATAGTTTGCACTGTTGAATCATAAAAAATACACCCCATAATTATGTCGTAACATATTATTAAAAACAAATCATTGAAACACATCATAAAAACAAATCATTATTAAAAACAAAGCATGTATTTCCTTTAATTTTGTCCATGCAAACCGATGCTTGTATATTGGTTTTATAGCAATGAGAACAATTCTGTTTGATTTGATTTCTACTTAACAGAATTCTTGTCGGATATGTGTGCTTAATACATTGTAGAATTAGAATCTCAAGGACTTTGGTGTGATTGTGTTGTGTCGTTCCAATGGGTGATGAGCTCACTCTAACCGTTCTAGGACTTTGGTGTGATTGTGTTGTGTCGTTCCAATGGGTGATGAGCTCACTCTATCCGTTCTAGGACTTTGGTGTGATTGTGTTGTGTCGTTCCAATGGGTGATGAGCTCACTCTATCCGTTCTAGGACTTTGGTGTGATTGTGTTGTGCCGTTCCAATGGGTGATGAGCTCACTTTAACCGTTCTAGGACTTTGGTCCTTTTTGGTCGTTTTAAGTTCTCATTATGAGGAAGGAAGGACCTAGTCTAATTTTTTATGAAGACCGTCATGGATTGGGAGACCTTGGAGGCAGCGGCACCACATACTGTACCTGCAAGTTCAAGGCGGGTTTGTTGTTATAACAAGACATAACTAATCCTTTCTTTATTCAAAACCTACTTACCTGTCTGTGGCAGTATAATATATAAATCGTCTTGCCAAGTCAGGTACTCTGTATTTCCCGTTTATCTCTCATTCGGTATTATTAAGGTAATAATATAACTGATTTGTTATTGGATTTTTGTGTTTTAATTGTCATTTGCAAACTGATAGTGTTATTCCGGTGGTATTGACAAATGTGTTAAAAAATTATAATTTAAAGAATATTTCGTTGGGGCGTGGGCCAGTTAAGAAACATTTAAATCTATATTGATTGACTAGCTCTTTTGGTTTTTCCAAATTTCTTGTCATTTTTCCCGTTTACTAGCCTACATACACTATCAGGAACTGCAATTTTTTTCAATGAACATTCTGGTTAATGTATTTCGTATAGTTTTACTGTAAATTTCTACATGTTGTGTAGTTAAAAAAATAAAATAATAACTTTATAAACATTGACTAAATGCTTTTTGTTAGATAGTTTTGGCATTTTCTGTCAGCATTTGGAAGGATGTTGCCGTGGGTGTTATGCAGATATTCAATCATTTACTGTTGGATCAGAAAACAATCAGTTAGCGATCATTGCTCGGTAATCGCCGGTTCAGTATAGATGTTAGGTTTACCAAATTGCTCGTTTGAATTCTACATAACTAACACCACACTAAATTTACACTAATTTCAGAGTAAAATGATATCGTTAAAAGACATAGTATAAGTTAACAGGAGTATCTGAATACATAGTTAGTTATTTCCATTTACTCATTACACAACCAATACAAATAGATTGATAGAACAACATCCAGCTACATAAAGAATACTTTAGCTAGAAATACTCAAGTGTGTAAGAAACAAATCAAACCCCTTGATTTCTAAACTATATAAGTTTTCCATAAAAGTAGGTAAAAGGGTTGAGTTAACTTACTGACTAAATTTGAAGAGCTTCTACAGCATGGAGAACTTTTCTTGTGGCTGAAAATATATCTCTAGTGGACGTAGAGGTGCTATACAACTAAAGGAATGAGGTAATAGTGATAGTTCACCCCAAGAAAAGCTAGTCCACGTCTTGTAGCTAGTAGAATATATGAATATACAGCGTTACCTGTGTAGTTTCCAATGTATGCTATGTTAAGTGCTATTTCCTCATACTGATTGTATTCAAACAGAGGTTGCTCTGGGGTATACATCCACCCTCTTCCCTCAAAAATAGTCCCGTCCTCTGATATAAGGAAGCTGGAACATATAATTTTACTTCATTCCTATTAAAAACTATATTAACAAAAGTAAATTATGTATATAAAAATGATTATAACATGTACAGTAGTAGTTTATACGGTAAAATAGGAGAATTAGGATAGTATTATAAACATGAATGCATGATTCGTGTGAAATTTAAAAAAAAAACATAGTAAATCAAAGCTAAAAGAAAATTAATCCATATTTTCGCAGTATCCATAGTAAGAACGTTTGGCTGGATTTTCAACATAGATACCATACATACTTAATTATGAGGCGGCAATACATTTATTTTTATCAGTAAATACTGTCAGTTCAATATAACTTTCATTGTATGTTGTGGCGTGTGATTTATAAATTAGTTATGGATTCTATCGGAGCGGAGTATCTGTTGATTTCTAGGGAATAAATAAAATACCTCTGCCGCAGCAACCTGCAGACTAAGCGAATGTCCATAAACCTTACTGGATCTCCACTAAAATATCTCCTAACTATTGTCAGATTTATGTCATATTTAAACTAAATTGATTAATGAGGACCTAGGTTGGCTTATACAAGGAAGGTAATTATAATACCTAGTGGTCGTCCAGTGGTTGAAAACTCGTCCAAAAATATGTAATATACACGCATTGAATGTTGGATACTGAAGTAGACATCCCATCTATATGGATCAGCCATCGCCATTTTTTATTTTGTTGCTGACAAAATTGATGGGTCATAGCAGTTGCTAAAGCTCGTAATAAGTATTTCCATAAGTTTGACTTGGGTAAAAAACATCGTGTACCTATTCGACAGAAATTAGTCATTTAGATCAGCACAATCTGTTGGTGACTCACATCAACTAGGACGAATTTAATTAAAAACTGGCGACAACTTTCACATGGGGATGGAATGTCTAGTTGTAAGTCAAAGGCACAGGCTTCTCTATTTTCACCCCACGCTGTAAATAAAACATGTGATTGTATTTTTTTATATTTGCTTTGTTTTTCTGTTTATATTTCGTTGTTATTTCGTCACCATCATGGCAACCCATAAAGCCCATGTTATTTTTTTTATTCATGTTTTGTGCTTATATTTGAGCCTATTAAATTTTTAGGATTCTGTACATCTACAGGGAAATATCTTTCTAACATTATGCGTAGATTTCCCCTGCAATGCACACGAGCTAAAAAAAGATGTTAAAGAAACATGCTTGTCTATTAATATATAAATAATAATTATAAATGAGTTAAAAGTAATGAGGGGACATCAAAACGAAAAGAATCTGTCGCGAGAATATCAGCTCTTACAGTGCCACTTGCGGTAATAGCTTATTCCCTATAACTATGGAAAATCCACCAAATCTAAAGCTATAGCTAGTTGTGTGTCTATAGTACATAAATTGTGATTGTTAGGCCCCGGGTACGATACGAGCGGCGAGCGGCGAGCGGTGAGCGGCGAGCGGCATGAGCGGCGCCGCTCTGACATCGGGTCTCATTTAGTTGCGTGTAACTTTGTTGAGGGTGGCCACGATACGTCTGAGCGGCGAGCGGCGGTGAGCGGCACCGCTCAGCGCCGCTCATGGATCCAAGTCAAAACCGATTTTCGCGAAAACGCCGCTCGCCGCTCAGGTGAGTCATGCTTCAGTTCGGCTTAAAATGACAGGGAAACAGCAGCAAAAATGCGATACGAGTTGATACGTGAGGTGCAGTCCAGGTAATGTTTGTGGAATGACCAACAAGGAAGTTTTAAAACACTTCATTCACCAGAAAAGTATGGGAAAAAATTAGGGTTAAGGTTTTTCTAAAAACTAAGTTTTTTTTTAAAGGCAAACAATTGTCAGATAGCAACAAAAGTTGCAATACGTCTTGCAGGTAAGCATAGTTTACCATTTTATACTAAACTAACTCATAAAACTTGGGAAACTTGATGAGCGGTATAAATGTGCCGCTTGTATCGTAGCCACCACCGCCGCTCACGTGCCGCTCAGAATGCCGCTCGCCGCTTGCCGCTCACCGCTCGCCGCTCGTATCGTACCCGAGGCCTTACTCTTTTCTACAATAGATTGTGAGCTTATTCTTCCATCTCATCCGTTGCGAATGACGGGTAAACCAACCCGTCACTACAATTAGTAGGCCTACAGTTGCTAAACGTAATTTGACAATTTAATAAGGTGCACATTTTTATACCTTTACGTAAGTTAATGTTTGAAACTCATCTACTTAAAGATATAATTTAATACCAAACTATAAATTCATTTCATCCTATGTTACCGAATGCTACCGTTGTGCAAATACTATATTTACAGGATTTACCTATTAGTGTAAATCCTGTCCGGTAAAATAAATGTACGCTTAGAAAACTTGTATTGCCATAACCATAGATCTACCGTATTGATCATGTTACAAACAGTATAAAATAAAATTTATTGTTTGGATAAAAAATAGTTGCAATATAGTGTTTTTTACGATCACGACTGTGCATGAATCAAATCATATAATTAACTCTGTTGAGAAGTAAGTGTGGGTGTGTAGTTGCACTGTAGGCACTTGAAGGTACGAGGTCGCGGAACTAGAGGCAGAGCAGTAGGCGGGCAAGGTAAAGTGTCACACCTATGTCATCCGGGCCAAACAAACGCCAAGGTCTGGTGTCATGTGCAAAATAACCTATGATCCAGAACTTTGTATTTGATTGAACAGCAATTTATATTAAATTTAATTCTACAACAGGAAGATCAAGCCTCTAATTTTGGTAATGCTTTAAGACAACATTTTAAACGAAAGCAAACAGTTGAAAATGATTCAGTCAATCGTTTCTAAATGCAGTAAAATTAAACATTTGCAATCTCATGTATTATAACGTGCGAGATTTTGTTAAAAATATTATGAACCAAGCACTAGATGGACTTTCATGATTCTTGTATTAAAACAAAGGTTTTAAGAGGAAGGGAATGTCAAAGCCTAACAAAAAAGCCTACAGTGAAAGTTAGCCCCCTTCAAGGATTTTCACATCAACAAATTTGGCAAACATCAAAATTAATCAGTTTTATAGTAGCTGTTATAATCCTTCAATGTCTAAAGCGTTGGCAAGAGTGTCAAATAGTTAGTTGTTCAAGTTTAAAGTTAGTTAGTTTTATAAGATTAAAAGTTAGATAAAACTGAAATAAGTTGAGAGTTTGGTTCACAGTTTTTGTATTTTCATAGTAACAATTATCGCTGTGGCTACGGTTACGGCTACCCGTAATACCAATAGACAGTACGGGCAGTCCATGACGTCATTGATAGACGTAGACTTCAAACGGTAAACGGCTAAACTAAACGCTAGGAGCAAGCAGACAGCCAGAGCCAGATATTGAGGTTATGTCAGTGATGTGATGTGTGATGTGAATGTGAAGCGATTGCAGTATTTTATTTTAAACGTTCGATCATTAATTTGTTTTAGTTTTATTCATTAAACTCCATTATTCGCAGTTTGTACTACGCTATGAAATTAAAAACGCGTTCCCTAGTCTAGTAGAGATTAGTTTATGCCTAAGTTTATTAAGAATTATTAACTTAAGGCTAGGCCTACTGAATAAGTTAGGCTTTACCAACTTGGTCTTTACAAAACTAATTTATTTTCTGTATTTAAAATATATCTTGGGGGGGTCCTAAGTTAGGCTATTTACATAACTAATGATGTACCTTCTTAATTAAAATGTATTTTAATTATGTTGGTCTTTCACTAAATTAAATAATTAAATTAACTCAAAAGTTATAGGATAAGTTAGCCTAATGCAGATAGTCTGTTTGAAGTCCTACATAAAAGCAAGCCTCAGCTTAAACTTGAGTGTGGTGGTAATTAATAACTTATTTGTTAAATAAAATACATATTGATGCAACTTAAGCTGTTTTTATTTATTCATATCAATGGATAGGCTACACCGTTTGAAAACTGTGGTAGACACAAGAACAGAGTAATCTTAGCCTACAGATAAGTAAATGTCCATACCAACTACTAACTAGTGATTATTTTAGCCAAGTTAAAGTTAAACTCAATTAACTTAGCTAATCGTTTTTTAACAAAGTTAGATAATGTTTTAAAGTGATAAAGTTGTGTATTGAATTGAAAGTTAGTTATAGCGAGTAAAGACTGGTACTTTCGTATTTTGTGAAGGCCACCCTTATACAGCGCGCCGTGGTGGTTAGGTTAGATGGGTTATCATAATTTTTTATGACTCATCTGGTAAGTTATCGTTCGATTTATAACGAAACAAAAGGAAAGTCTTACAAACATATTTACAATAACCCAATTTAACCTAACCGCTGCAGCGCGCTGTCATATGTGTACTCCGTATGATACGACAGTACCTAATGACTTTTAATTGTAGGCCTTGAACTTTCTCTTTACAACAGAGACCGGTTAGGCTAGGCACAGTTATGAGATTATTGAATTTTCCTTTAGAAATAAAGACCATTTCTTTCACAGCCTTTTTGGTGAGAAAACAATTATTTACTCCTAGCATCTCATATGGCCTAAAACTTAGAACAAAGTTCATTCAAACTATTAACTCAATACTTTGTAGATTAATTTTTTTATGCTACCGTACCAATATTTAGGCCTATATATATTGGTAATTCATGCTATTATTAATGCAAACTTTTAAGAATCAATTTCAATTGACACAAAGCCTACAGTAGAACCCAGGTTAACCGAAACCCCTGGTTAATCGAGAAGTTTCCATAAAATAATACAGGGCTAAAGTATAATACTACCTTCAGTATCCAAGAGTCAATAGTAATACATAATGTAAAATGCTTTAACTTAGTAACTTCAGTTTTATACTTATTATTTTCTGGCCCATTATAATGTTTCTGTAGCTGAAGTAAAATACTGTATTAACTTATATAGACATTGTTTTAAATGCATTTTTTCAAAATCACCGAGGTAATAGGGCCTACATAGGCTATTTTTAACATATGACGGGTTAACCGAAATATTTGTTATCCAAACAGCTCTTCCCTCTTTATTTCGGTTAA